ATTTTTCTTGTTCAGAGGAAAGTTAAGAGCCAAAGTTCCTTTCAGTGTTATGTGGACACTGGGTTTGCTCTGCTCCGCTATGGAATAACCACCAGCGATTAAGTGCTCTTGGTTTTCATTTTTCCCGTCCTGCCTCCTTACCAGTTATGTAATATATAGTTTAGCAAAACTCTGAAGACTGTTTAGAGTTCCTGGCTTTCTCTAAAGCAAACAGCTAAACGCTGGAGTTGATGCAAACAAGGCACTTAGCATCTGAAAGAAGTGTTAACACTTTATTTACATTTAAATTAAAATGGACACTTATTTATGTGTTCTGGTTCTGAAAGGTGTGTGGTACATCTGCAGAGGCCTATTGTTTATTCATGCTGTAAATCCTTTGAAATGTGTTAAAATGCTTCCCACTCATTATAAAAATCCTGCCACCCATGGATTAGGGCTTTGATGTCACCAATCCTGCTTCAAAGGGTTCTTTCAATGCTATTAATCACAGTTTAGCCTCTGAAGATATAGCCAGAGAAAACATTTGGACATCTTGTGCTAGACTTGCTAAAACTTTGAAATATACAGAGTGTCTTGCATATGCACAGTCCCGTATCACTTCCTCTCTCTTCTCTGAACCTTTATTTTGAAAAGCTATTTTGTGATGACTTTGGCTTTCTACAAGTACAAAGGAAAAAGTTTAGGACCTGTCATACTGTACATTTAAAAAAAGGCACTCGTCTTTCACTTGACACCACAATATGGTTTTGCCTGAGGAATTGAGTCAGTCTTTAAAAACCTCAAGGGACAATAAGATTGGGGATTAAGCAGGCCTGTATGTCAAAAGGTCAAAAAAAGATACCGTCTTATCATTTTCTCATCTCTTTGATTAGTTTGTGAGCTTAAGATGCTGTCTAAACACTTCAGGATCCACATGATTTCATAGAAACAAGATTGTTTCTGCTGTCTTTCTCTCTTTTAAATCTCTCAATGAGTCACAGAGAAATTGATTACTAGTGATTGAGCTGTATGCCTTTGTGCTGTCGTTGTTTTCATCAGCTCAGTAGCTAAGGTCAGTGACATACCACCTTATCACTGACTTTTTTCTCCCTTTTAAATCAACACTGCACTCTGTCACGCCCATGCTGAATGCTCTGCAGGCACAATTGGTAATGAGCGGGGTGTGGAAGAAGTGTGGTGCTGTCTGCTATTTTTAGTACTATTGTACAAACTGATTTTCCACCATACAAATTTTTCCCTGCTAAGCCTCTTGAACAGTATTTTGCAGTATGTATTTCTTTCTTTTTGAACAGGTAACTTGGCACAAGCAAGAGCCAGAGTGACAGCAGCATCTAGGTCTTTGCCTCCACAGCTTAGTGCTGGGCGTATCAAGGTTAGTAGTGTTCCCTTTGAAGACAGGCAATTGTTCATAAAATATTGCAGTGAGACTATGGACACGATGCTTAGCTGATGTAGGTATATAGTGAGGTTCTTACCAAATGAAGAGTCTGCCCTAATATCAGAAAACATGCACCTCAGCTGGGAGCAGTTTACAGTTTTAGTGAGGACCCTGTTCTAGAATCCAGTGAAGCATCAATTTACTACTGATTAATCTTAAAACTTTCACAGTGAAATCTCAGTTACCTTGATGTTGATAGCAATATCCCTCTTTATTTCAGTGGGGTCAAGGTTTTCCTCTGGCAATTTTGGCCTAGAAAGAAATTTAATTAGGTAAAATCTGAATTAGTACATTTAACATTATGAAAGGCAAAATTACAAAACAATCTGATCCTTTTTTATTCAACTTGCAAGTGCAAAACCAGGGGACATTTGTGACTAATAGATGCCCAGAAAAGAATGACTCTGCAAAACCACTGTTCTTTAAAAAGAACTAGAGAATTTAAACGCTGCTGAATTTTGCCATAGAAGTATGTGGCACAATTGCAGAAGGATGGGATAATTTTATGGCAGTTAATAGGATGTGTTGCCAACTGAGTACATTTAATTTGTGAGGAAAACTCTTGTGCCTCAAGCTGATAGTATGTACAGTCCCTCCCTGCTTTCTAAGTAGTACTTGTAGAGTTAGCTTAGTTAAGGGTTTTGGGCGGGGGCAAACAACAATAATTTTTAAAAACAAATGTGGTAACAGCAACTGTTCAAAAGCCTACAGAATTTTATGTTCTGGGTTTTCTATTTCTTTTCATTCTCTCCTGTTATTAGGAGCTCATGCGCAAATGTCGATATGATAATTCATGTCACCCAGACATCTCTATCCTTCACTGTACCTGCAAATACAGATGTGGATTTCAGAGATTTATTTCCTCTCTGGTATAAACACTTTCCATGCTGAAGAACAGATAATGGCATTTCCAATTTTCTTGTATTATACACACATCGTCTTCCACATCCAGCTATATTCAGCATAAGCTTTCTAAGCATGCAGTTTATTGATACATCTGGAATGGAATAGAGCAGTTCTCTTTTAGAGCTTTAATAAACACAATCAGTTACTAAGTGGTGTTTAAGTGGTTTTTACTCACACTTCAGATTTTTGAAGAAGGAGCTAAAAGACGTTTAAGTGCAGCACTATTCAGAAAATGTTAATTGAAATAGTTTTTAGGTGAAAAAAAATTCTTTCTTACAACTCATAAAACTTCTAATTAAAACAAATTCAGGAAAAGATTTTAAATTACTATTTTACAATTTGTTAAAAAGAAACCTAAATGTTGTAATTTTGTTTGGGAGTTTGGAAATTTTAATTTATTATTTAATTTATGAACTTCTTTGCTTAATGTATTTTTTGGTTTTACAGTATTTCATGCTGTGCCAGCAGCAGGTGTGGTCAATATGTGAAAGTAATAATTTCCATCGACTTCATAAGGTGACACGATGTCATAAATCATTCTTTTAATATTGTTTCAAAACTATTATAAGCAATTTTTTTAGTGATGGAACAGTCTTTTGTAGGTCAAGCTGTTTTCCATTTCAGTTGTAATCCCATAAATGTATGCTGTGCGTCACTACTACTGTCATGTAAAAATGTGACTCAACAGTTGAAATATTCTTCATTCTAGTTTGAAAAAAGTAGCTAGTGATTTAAAACACAAGATCATATCGTGACATTCTTATTATGTTCTATCATTTTCTGCCAAGCCAGTTGTGATAAAGCCTATAGCCTCTTGTACATGCGATCATTGCCCTACCATAAAACTGCATGGCTTCATAGACATGCAATGTTATAAATTAACCAGAGACAAAACTTCTAAAAATTCTTACAGGAAAATCTCCCTAGCTTCAGCATCTATCGGAATTTTTCTAATGGAAACTTCGAATACTTCTTGTCAAAAATATTTGGAAATTGATCCTAGTCCTTACAGACTACACGAATCTGAATTTACAACTCCCTCCATAGAAAAAGGAATCTCACGATACTGGTTTTACCCTGGTTTTCTGAGAAAAAGTGTATTACATCTCCTCTGTGAGTGTTTCTGGCCATCTGTCTTTCAGTGTGTTCAATCCCTTCCCCCGCAAAAACCCCAAAACAAACCAAAACCCTTTTGAACCCAGCAGGCTGTAGTAAACCATATTTGACAGAGTGGCAGTCTCAAAGATCGTAAGATTCTACAGGTTTGGTGAAAATGAGCAGCTGTGAAAAAGAGCTGCTTACAATATCCTACTGGCTAAAAGGTGCTCACCCTTTATTGGCCAGCAGATATTCCAGATGTGACTGGGAGATCATGAATGCTGAACTTCCAACAACAATATCACTGAGAGTCTCTGCTTTTTTAGACAGACAATAATCCAATTTAAAAGCTCAAATTCATGGGCTTCAGTGCAGTCCTCAAACTACTTGCTTTTGCTCTTCATTATGATTAAAGTGTCTGTCTTTTAACACTATATGTTACCAGTTATTCTGACTTACTGTCAATATTTGCTGGTAGGGCTTTTGTCTTCTACCTGACCTTACTAGAGATTTAGATACCAATTCTCAAAAAGCAGTTCTCTTACAAGATAATTTTGAAACATTCCCATATCCTTCCCCATGGACATGCCTGCTGTTCTGATTAGGTCATTGATGTTTACTTTGTCAGGTGACCTCTTAAGATGTTTGATGTTATCTGTGCTGATAAGGCATTTTTCCTGGGATATATTACAGAGTTTTCTGTTAACATCCTTAAAACTGAAATCAAACTGCATCTTTTTTTTTTTTTTTTTTTCCCCCCAATGTTAGTTTGAGATGCGTACTAATGCATGTACACCACTCTGGGCTAGAACATCACAGATTACAAAAACATACTGAAATTTTTATGGTCACCCTTATGGAAATTTGTCTCCCTTTGCACCATCTGTATTCTGAATCTTGTCTTCACAAGTTTTCTTTTGGTTTCTTTCCCAACACAAAATCCATTTTCTTGATCTATTACTACTTAGTGCTTCATTTCCTTTATATTTTGCATGCAGTCTCCTAAATATCTCCTGAAGGTAAGAGACATGGTTACTTTATTGAGAAGTGTAATCTATCAGCAATTACTTTTAATGTTCAGAAGAGTGGTCTTAAGTCAGTGAGTGTTGGAAACGATCGTATGGAGCAAAGTCCAGGAAGTGTAGCACAGGTGCTGACAACAGCATTATCTGGTTTATACAAATGCCACCTGGTCAGAGCAGATGGTAAACTGCCACAAAGCAAGTGAATGCTAAAATGTTGTTAATGCTCCATGCAAACAGGATGCTGGTTGATTTTCTTTAATTTTGTTGAGCTGTAATACAGCAACACAATCTGCTTGTGATTGGTAACCATGTTTATACTCATTCATAAATTCTGGTTTCATTTTGATAAGAACAGCTGTACTGACAATATAACTGAAATATACAAGGAGCAATATGTTTGCTGTCCATGTATACCCTCTAAAAATAACTCTTCTGAAATGCTGAAAAAGCAGTATTTGAAGCTATGGCAGTTCAGCAGAGTAAGATTGCTGAAATTCTTGGCATCAAAATGGCAATTTAAAGTAATTAATAGTAACCACAACAGCAGAAAGGAAGAGACATACATTCTGAGATTACCTACTTTGTTTGCCACTTGTTATGTGACAACAACATTTTTTCCGTACATGAGCAAAATGAGGCAGCTCAATTTACTTCCTGGTCATTACAAAAATGATAACTCTTCTTGTATAGAAAATAAGACCTGATGAAGTTCATTATAGTGGTAATAAAAGGAATGCTTTTTAGAAATCAGTTTATAAGGTATTGCATCTTAACAGCTGTTTCATTGGCTGAGTGTTACACTACCATAACAAAAGTGTGAAATCATTGGAACACTTACAGCTCTCTCTGAAATCAGTGCATGTCCTGCATCTGTTAGAAGCTGGCCTTCCTACATCAGATGAAAGTACTTACACCTGAAGGAATGACCATAACAAAAACTGAACCCAGCTTTCATGAGCAAGGTGGGGGTGGGTCTGCAGTGTTTCTGGAACAGTTCTAATATCTGAGTTTTGTCTTCCAGGTTGACACGATGGAGGTTATGCGACACCCTGAGGAAACAACTAATATGAAGCGGCAAACTATGGCTTCCTATTTTAGGGTACAAAAGTTAAATTGTAAACAAACATTTTGATGATAAGAACAATAGATACATCTAAAATATTTGGGGGGGGGTGATCAAAGAGGACAGTAAGAGAATTTTTTTATTCTCTTGTGAGGCCTTTGTTGACTCAGATTTTCTTTTGCTCCTTTTCTTTTTGTTTCCTCACACTTGTACTTTTATAATTTGACCAAGTACATTGATAACAGAATCTAGAGTCTAAACTATTTCCGTCTGAAATGCTGGAGGTCTAGAACAGGCCTCTTTATGAACAGAAAACTGATTTTGTGCAAATAAAATAGTTGTCATTACTAAAGCCTTCATATTTTTTCCACAAGCTCAGGCATACTTACTTTCAAAGATTAAGATTTGCCATTTGTGATAATAAGTAAAACCAATCCATCTTTTGGAAGTACTGTTATAAATTACATGGATTGCCTTTTTATCAGTAGTAATCCTGTCTGGGGTAATGTATATTCTGCATGTGTGTTTTAATCAAGCAGGTAAGGAAAAGGCATTGAGAATGTTGGAACTGGAAGGTTAGGAGTTGGGAAACCCACATGCAAATCCAAGACTATTGGTTAATGGTTTTTTCTTGCAGTCATTGCAACGTGGAAAAATTTTGAGCATTTGGTCCTTGGGCTGCGCTTGTACCATGCAGAATGGGGAAGTTCACAGTGCTGTGCTAGCCAGCGTGGGTCAAAGCTTCATGCCATGTAGGAATACCGGTTTTCTTTGTTGTGTAAAATAGTGTAAGTCATAGAGGAAGCTGATGTATACTGAGATGTTGCCCCAGGGTGGAGGGTACAAGGACACACATTCAGACTTGTCTAGTAATACAAGTGTGGATTTAGAGTGCTTTTGGAAAGAACTATGCAAATGTTGGCTGTATGGGAACTGTAAAAAAAAAAAAAAAAAAAAAAAAAAAAGTGGAGTAAGAGAGTGAGTATGAAGGTACACTATAATATGGATGCAGCCTACACCAAAGTGACCACAGTCAGCTTGGAACTGTACATGATTTTGAGATTGAATGTATTTGCAACCAATACTTATCAAACAGTGGGTCAATGAGGTGAGGATGGAGCCAGAAGTATCAGTATTCAGAGGAGTAATTGGAAAAGCAGATATATATGATCTGATCAGACTTGTTTCATTTTAGTGTAAAATGCTATGGAATAAACTGTTTTCTATGTCCAGGGTGGATAGGCAAAGAAGCAATGAGCCAAGAACGTTATGAATAGCCATGACAATATAGCACTTCAGTAAATTGTCCAAGGGAGATTATGCAGTCTATAGCCTCAGTGATTCTGAAAAATGGATTAAACACAGATGTGCCTGAAGTGGTACAGGTACACCCAGTGTTCTCTTTGGGAAGAGGACTGAACTGATGACTTCTGGCAACCCTTTCCCCATGATTTTCTGTGATTGATTGTTGCACGGTAAAGCGCGTTCTTCTGTTGGGGATATTTGATTGGTCAAATGTGCCTATAGTAGAATTATAGTTAGGACATTTTCAATTTTTTTTTTTTTTAATATAGGCTGCCTTCAACTACAGAAATGTGGTATAAAGAGAGATGAAGAGAAGGATATAAGAAGTAAGAAATAAGAACTAGAATAATGGGGTTTTTTACAATGGAAAACTTTTAATAGGTTCTGTGTTTTAGCCAGAAGCTTAAAAATTAATAAAACATCAATGCAGATTAACATTACAGATTAAAATGTAATCAAGCATTGTATATTGTTTACAAATACGTATCTCCGGTTTAAGTAGTTGCATTGCAGTTTTTTGTCAAATGTGTGCATCTTTTTTATTTTCCTCACTAGTATTCCCTCATGGATCTTTTATCCAAAATGGTTGTTGGACAGCCTCACTTTATCCGCTGCATTAAACCTAACGATGATCGAGAAGCACTGACATTTTCTCATGAGAGAGTTCTACTGCAGCTACGATACACTGGAATTCTGGAAACTGTCAAAATACGTCAAAAAGGGTATTCTCATCGCATCCTCTTTGAAGAATTTGTGAAAAGGTAAGACTTCTATAACATAGCTGTTGTTTTAAAGCTCCATTCAATAAAATATATTCTATGTTTAGCTACAGAAAGTTCTACAAACATTGATTTCTACATGTATGGTCTGATTCTCTAATGAGAGCAGTGACTATCAGAGATAAAGACTACAAAAGATATCTGAACTCTAATGGAGAAAATTCAGTGTGAGACCAGCAGTGAGCACTTAGTATTCAGTAGCAAGTCTATCCCCATGGTTCCCTTAGTAGAGGCAACAAGTGGAAATTATGCATCGTGTTCGGATAATAGAAGGATTTGGAAGGTCAGTGACCTTCAGCCATCATATGAAGAAAGTGTACAAGCTTAAGAATGAACTGATGTGAAAGCTTTAGATTTAGAAATATTCCTTGTAATAGCTTTGTAGCCTTGTAGTCATTTATCCTGAAGATACCACGAATTATAACCAGATCTCTGTTCACCTGAACCCTTGTCATGGCTACACTTGCTGGCCTTAGTATTATTCTCAATCTCAAAAAGTTATAATTTTCATTCAGGAAATGCTATTGTCTTTATGATAACAGTATGTTTATATGATCATTATGGTTTCCTCTAGATTTAAAATGTTTTTGTGTAGTATTTACTGTTTTCCAGTCTGTAGGATTGATAATTCAATAATGAAACAGAAGCAGTACCATTAAGCAATCAACTACTCAACAGTAGGAACCAGTAGTGAATGGTGAAATCAAGCATTTAGTGATATTTTCTGGAGATAGCTCATCCAGACAACATAGAGTTAATTAATCTACTGAAAGCAAGTAATTCATATGATACTAGAGGATAAGAGCTGATTATGTTTTTGAGAAAGAAGAGACATAAACAGTTTCAAAGACCTTTCTAAAACCCAGAGATCAAGTAAATTTACATGTGTAAAGCAGTCATTTGGTCTTGGAAATTTGTGGTCCTTGCAATGAGAGATGTTGAACGATAAACCATAGCTTAATCAATTCATTCTGAAAAATTATGCCAAATGAATATGTAATAGGAAAACACTAGAGATATATATCCCAAGAAGGATAACTAATGTGTTCATTTGTCCATCAAAGCAATATAATTTTCAGATTATGTCCCCCAACTTTTTTTTTTTTTGTATTACATGACTAATTTTGGTAAGGTCACACCATTCTAAAGCAGATTTAACAAAGATTAATTTTTGTAGTCACTAATACATCTTTGCAACATTCTGAAGAGGCTGAAGGCAGAATTATTAACCTTATATTTTATCCAATTTACACATAAGTGAACTCAGATTAACTCCACTGAAATTAGTGTAAATTGAGAGGAAATTACACCTCCTCCTATCAGTAGATTATTTGCATTCAAAAGTCCGCTGAATTTGAGTATAACCTTGAAAAGTAATGGTAATAAAAGCAGTGCTGACTGTAGCTTTCCATTCCTGCAGATAAGGGCAAGTTGTGTTTAACGTCTTGTCAGATACTCCTCAAGTTTTTAGTCCAACTTGATGAAATTCTTTCAGGAAAGAAAGTCAACACAACAAGGGAAGTAGGGGGAAGGTTTAGCAATTTGCCCAACAACATAGAAGACTTCCGGAGTTCAGAATGTAAACAGGGGGCATGAGAGGGGATGTTCTTGCTCCTTTGTTCAGTTCATGCTTTATTTTTAAACAAATTCTATTCTGTTTTGCTCTTGAAAAAAAAAAACACTGCTTAAAAAAGCTATCAATGGAACAAGAAACATTTTTCTTCAGTTTACAGCCATGACTAGTCAAGTGTTTTTAGGAACTAAGTAGTTGAATACATAAAAATGTTTGAGAAAACAGGTCAAATGCTAAACAGATTGGCACTTCTTTGTTCATAATCAAAAAGACATTAGGCAAGTATGAACAAGAGTTTCAAAATGTCAGTAAATGTGAGGATATCAAAGATTTTCTAAGCCAGCAAGTTAATTGGTATTTTGATCCTTTTGAGCAACTGAACAACAAAATGGATGAGCCAGCACTTTTTCTCCCTTGATGTTATTAAACAAATAGGTGTGCTTCTTATCTGCCTGTTCAATAATGCTGTTTTGTAAACTCTTAGCAGGAAATATGAGGACAAAACAATCAAAGGCAGGGAACAGAACCATTCAGGGTTTATCAGGTGGGAGGTAAACAAAAGATAAAGCTCTGTCTAATGTTACTTTTTACTGTCTTCTGTTTTCATGTAGAACAGATTATTTCAGTGTTGCAAACCTGGAGGGTAGTTTATTGGGTTAAAAAACAGATGGTGAGGAGAGGACTTAATTGTAACTCATTCACACAATGTTTCTTCAGCCAAGTATACAACCATCTGGTTTATGTATATAAATATACATATTCTTTTACTTAAAGTAGGAAAATGTAATCTGCAGCCCCTGTAAACACTGTAGACCTGTCAAGTCTTAGGCACTTCATCTCTGTTGGCCTTGTCTCGCACCCCATGCCATCATGTGTCTGTCTTCTGTGTTTACTGTGAAGCATGGCCCCTTTCTCAGGCTGGAATTCCAGGTTTCAGACATGGGTTATTAACCTGATCAGGCAACTGGGTGTGCCTGACTTGTGGGGCTGTAGAGTGACCATGCACTGCACAGCAGCTAAGGGAGGTATGCTTTCTAGCAGGGACCTGCACTGAAAGTCCCCCAGATGGGACACTCCTTGCTATATCTGAGTGCCCAGGCCCCTGGAGATTCACATGACATGATGTGGTATGCAGGTGTGTCCTCACCACATATCCCCCAGCTGTATACACCTTTTATGTAGTGTGACATATACTGTACCATGGGTTGAAAGGTAAAGGACTTCAGAGTCTAATGATGCTAAATGCTGTCATGCTTGAAGTGCCTTATAAGCACATAGGAATGTATTAAGAAGTTATGTGCAAGTTTCATTTCAGGATTGTCTTTTTCTTCTTCTTCTCTGCCTGTTTACATTCTGCATTAAAGTTCTTTGTACTGTATTAGGATGCAGGATACATTTTTTCTATAATTGCTGCCTACTCCACAGTAGCCAGATGATGGTACTCAGTTCATATGCTCATGGCAATACCGGTGTTACTACTGTAACATTGATCCCAGTGAAGTTGGTTCTGCTTTTTTGATCTGACACTGCGAATTTGCATAAGGTCACTGTTGGTACACCTGGTACACAGAGTCCCTAGACTGTCAATGTTACATGTCTCATGACCATATAAAGCCTCATTGACCTTAATGAGTCACATTCTCCATTGAGTGGAGCTAGGAATAAAAACAGGTCAAATATTGCAAAATCCTGTAAAACATGTTACCTCAGTGCAGGATTTCTTCTGAACCCAAAAATGCAGTGGTGATAGACTTGTTTATTATTCAAAATCAGAGAAGCTTTAGAATTAGAATTTAACAGGTTTGCTACAGAGAAAAGAAATGCTTGCTTTTCAAAGGATGCATTTTTAATGCAAACTTACACTTAACAGAGTCTGCACTGTACCAAAGTCCCTAAGTGATTTCTGGAAACACTCCCCATATTCTGTTTTTACTATTACCCATGGAAATGTTTGTTGTTTGTTCAGTGGCTTTAACATTTCACCAGATCTGTGTAATGTTCCTGTACACTTGAAATATGATAAACTATAGTACCTTCCACATATACTTTCTAGACTCTTGTCATTCACAGAACACTGGTAAATAGTTGCAGGATGGAGAAGACAGGAAACATCTAGGAGTGGAAAGTCTGCTAACTCTTTATGAATTATATGTGTAGAATGGACCAAATTATGCCTTTCTGAGAGTATTTCTGTGATATTTTTTTTATCTGATGATTTAGAGCATGTGTTAGGTATCTGGTACTGAATTTCAAGAGTTATCTATCTTAGATGATTTTTCATTTTTCATTTAAATTTTTTCATTCATATTCTCAATAGAGTCAAGTGTAATTAGTTGTATGAATTCATATATGAAAGTTTCTGAAAGAGGTGAGATACAACCAATACAAGTTAGGAATTTCTGAAAGTTATTTAACATCTCTCTCAGTGATAAAACTATGGGGTTTTTTAAACTTTCCAACTCCACGCCTGAGAAGGAACAAATGTTTTTGGGAATGTTGAGAATCTCCCTACTATTGCTGGGGGTCTGCCTGGAAAAGGATTTTGCCCTCTTGTACCTCATGCTTTTCATTATCCATTCTCCACCTCAGGCCAGTATATTTTAGTACAAAGATTTGTTTTAAAGAGAAGAAGGGTTAATCATTACTTTTTGAGTTAATTCTGTAGAATTGGTGCTGCCCTTAAGTCTGGAATGTGAAGGGAACTTTAGTAAGAGACATTGGTGTGGTAGTTAATGGTGGTGTTTAAATCCTATTTATTGAACAGTTCCCACAGTTCGCCCTTTAAGGAGGGGAGAGAAATTGAACCATTTGTTTACAATCAGTTTATCTAATCTAAACCCACCAACTAATCTAAAATGCCTTGGCCGTAATCAGATAGTTAATGCATAGCATCATTCTGAAGTTTTCCATATCTTAGCACACTTGGATGTCTTTAACGTTTAATCTGAACTCTGCATGTCCTAGCTTTGCAATTGTTGACCTGGGGATAAATTCAACTTCTAAAAAATGTTGGTTTATGCCTAATGACTACTAAGTACAGTTAATCCCATTTTAGTATATATTTTGTCTGGAATATTGTTCATTTCCATGAAGGATAGTTTGTAGTGCAGTATAAGAACCACTGGTTAAGAAATAAATAATTCCAGAGTTTCATCAACTCTGAGAAATTAGTTCTTCGAAGGGGAAATTACTTTTCTCTTAGTCTTACTGCTAATGAGAATGTGATTAGTCAAGTACTTTTAGGGAACATGTAGATGAATGTGTCACATATAGGAAATTTTCAAGCAAGATGTATAATCCAAGAAAATAACATATTTTTGCACAAATATGTACATATTTATGGAACAGCACATGAAGGACCATAATCTTTATTTTTAAAAATAGAAACAAAAGTATTGGCTTAGCACAGAAGAGCTCTGAAGTATTCCAGACTACTGCATTTTCTGCTGGAATAACAAATGCAAATACAGAAATAAAAAAGTAGAGTTGTAAAATTTTTGTCTCATCTGTAGGCAAACATGATTTCTAGCTCTACTTTTCTGAAATTAAGTATCTGGTTTCTTCTCTTGTTGAAATGTTGTAAATTGCATTGGTGCTATCTAAAAACTGTTCTGCGGTTTTAAAATTCCCAACTACAACGTTCCTTTAAAGATGTATGAACAACCAGAAAAATTATATTATCACTCACTTGAATCCTTCCTTCTTCCTAAGGAAAGGAACTGCTTAAGTTGAATACATATATGTGTAAATAACATGGCTATCTGAACTGGCTTTTGAAGCAAACAGCAATTTATTGTTAGTGCAACTTCCATGATGTAGCTGTCAAGTGTCAGTTGAAATGGCATGCTATCACAAATTGTTTGTGATATGTATATTTTAAATCTGAGTTTTATTAGTGCAACTCATAATACTGTTTGTCTTGTGAAAACTGGCATCATGAAGTTCAGTAATAAGGTGGAGGACGCATTCTTTTTTTTTCTTTTAAATACACCATGTTTCTTTATACCTACTAAATGGCATGGCTTGGTATTTTGAAAGACTTGGCTAAAGAATTTGCAATATCATGTTATTGAGAAAGTCACCATGTTAAAAAAAAGTCAGTAATACATAATCTTCTGTCATTATTCAGTGGGCAATGTCTCCAGTTGGTGAATATCTGTCTCTGGTCCAGGACTGATTCCAGTGCTTCTGCCTTCAGATGTCATTTTGTTCCCCTTAGATCTTGATTGACTATTTTAGTGGTTCTTTTATTTCTTGTGACAAGGGGAGCTAGTATCTAGAGATTAACTGGAGCTAATATTTGAAAATCACATTCACCTGATTAAAAAAAAAAAAGGAAGTCTTGCCTTATTCAATTCTTTCTAATTGCTTCTCTATGTTTTCTTTAGTATGAGGTGGGATATTTTCTTGCCTCTATATGGCTACAGAGGAATCTGGCTTTGAGGTTCACTGGTCAGATTCTTCTCCTTATGTTTTAAAGAACATCTGATGGCTCTTCGCCATGCTAATAATTAGGAGAATGGTTTGCTCAACCTGCCTGTTCCTCTCAAATACACTGTAGAGTAGCACCTGTAGAAGTATATAAATTAATAAAGACTAAGACAACACATGGCAGTTCATAAATGAGAGCTGAGGTGGCAGTTGCTACCATCTAACAGTGTACTTGTGCTAAAATAACCTTAAGTTTGTAAACTAACTGGCATGCATTCTTGCTGTTACTTAACATAATTGTTTGCAAGTAGAATTACTTAAATACTATAAAACCATTCTTCATTAACCTATGGTGGCTTTACAGGTATGGATTGGTCCGTTCATTCTTAATTCAGTTCAAACATGTTTGCATCCCTTTTTCATTAACTATTTGCAGAATAATGTTACTTCACATAATTGTTAGGTGCTCTACTTTGCAAGGGAACATGGACAAAAGAAAAGTCAATGTTGTTTAGTATAGGCCTGCTCCAAATGCCACTAAAATTGATCATAATCATTCCAATTAATTGTTTATCCCAATCAAACAGAAAAAAAGACATCATACCTAATGACTTGCAAACCTAATCATAACCACAGAAATCCTTGTGAGTGAAGATTATTACATTCCTATGAGGAATAATTAACTTGTTTTTTCTTTAAAATAGCTGCTAGTTCTGTTTAACCATCAGCACTGATAAAATCCTTGCCAATATGATAGCAATGCCAATTGTTATAATTATGCATATATATGACCTCTTCTGCAGCTGTGAACTACAGGTGGGTATTCATGCAGTCTGAGCATCTTGCTGTCTGTAAGTTGAGATTGAGAGTTGTTCTTACTGTAAACTAATCTTTATTCTTCACACACAGCAGCCTTTCAGCTTCAATAATCAGTATCACTGTATCATTTTACTGTCTACCCTCCTAGTGCTGGCCTTTATCTAAATACTGATGGAGAATCCTCTGTCCTTCCATTAGGCATACTGAAAATGGGAAACTCCCCTGAGTTCTGTTGGTGGGAGTGATCTTGTTACAAGCTCAGGAGCATTGGACTTCTTATGTAGATTTGTGCTTCCCGAAAAATGTCAAGGCCATTTATACTTCTTTGTGAAAAATGACCAATACTAGTAACTAAAATATTGAAAGATTCTGAAATGCCCTTTTTTTGGCATTTCTCCTAAGAAGCAGGGATCAGGTCAGGAATAACTTATTTTTGGTCCTTTTCTTTCTTTGGTGCTAGTATTTGACTTTCCTCCCACTCAGAAATCTATAAAGGTCTATTGAACACCTCAAGGAGCACCTGCTTACTGCAGTGAGATGTAACTGTGCCAAAGTATGTTATGCAGCTCTGTAGGTAGCATACTTATTTTTACACATTATGCGGGTTTTATTTTTGCCTTCCTTTCTATTACTCTGAGTTCTAGCACTTTTCCTTCTTCTCCCTGTCATTCATTCACTCATTTGCCTGAAAAATTCAGAACAACCTTGGATGTTTCCTAAGTTGCACCGGTTTGTGAAAGACCTTTATGGATGATTACACTTACTGGGGATTTCTAGAACACAGCAGATTCCTGTAACCACTATAGTACCACTTATTTTCCTGTGTCATGTGAATGCTTAAGTATCTGTTCATGACATTTATGAAGAGGACTCTGTATAAGGGAGAATTTGGCCTGTGAGTTCTAGAGATGCAACTCTGAGCTAGAGAAGAGCAGTGGAAATACATATTGATTGTAAAGTCAATTCTTTCTTTGTCATTTGGTTTTGCAGGTACTATTACCTTGCATTCAAGGCACATGAGACTCCCCTTGGTAGCAGAGAAAACTGTCTTGCCATTTTGGAGAAATCTAAACTAGACAACTGGATTCTTGGGAAAACCAAGGTAGAGGGTGCTAACATTTTCTTAAGGATAGTATCCTTTTAGCAAAACATGTCTAATAGTGGTTTGAAAAGTACCGCATGAATGAATAAAAGAGCAAGGAATTTGCTTCAGTTAGCCTCCCAGGTTATGAAGGTGCCTTCCCAAGCCTGCTGAGTTAGTGCTGCAAGAGGAGGGGTGCATTGGATATCTCCCCAGAGCGCATTCTGTATGTGGCTGCCTTGATGAGGACAGTACATCTAGCAGTGCCTGCTGTGGTAGTGCCTCCCTGAAGTTCCTTCTGCTCTTAATCATGTCATGACTGAAACTTCACACTCTGGCCCATTCTGTGAGCCTGGTTAGTATATTATCCATTTGTGGAGTTTCAGGTGAAATCCTTCTGGCTCTGTCAAGAGCCTTTGTTCATGGTTTTAAATGGAGTGGATGACTTCTGTAGAAAGGATACAGTATCTTGAGTTGTTTTACAGTGCACAAAGGAAAAGCAAGGAGAATTTTCCTGCTGAAGACCCAGATAAAGTGTATGTAAGCACCCATAGGATTTGCCCCCTGAAGTAGAATGCTGTTAGACAATATTATGTCTAAAAACAAATTCAACCCAGGATTTATCTTCCCACTGTCAAGAAAGGTTATATTTCAAAATTGTTGATACCTGCAAATATCCCCCAGCCAATCTGCTTTGTAAGGGGGGTAAATATGTAGTTTATTTTGCGATGGGATGATTATAAGCAGTGGAATAATGAAATTGCACAAGCACACTGAGAGCAAGTATTTGATTCACAAGTTTGCTATGATATCAGCAACCAGTATTTTACCAGATTTCTCAGCAGTGGTGCCCTAAAATAGGCTGACATAGGACTAATGAAAAGGCAGGATACAAGAGGTTATGTTACTGCCTGCATGTAATAGTGATTTTTGTGTGTGTGTATGTTCCATTTCAGGTTTTTCTAAAGTATTACCATATAGAACAGTTAAATTTGTTCCTGCGAGAAGTTATAGGGAGGGTGGTGGTCATGCAAGCCTATATCAAGGGATGGCTTGGAGCAAGGAGGTATAAAAAAGTCAAAGAGAAAAGAGAAAATAGTGCTGTTACCATACAGTCAGGTAAATGTTCACATTACCTATTTCACTGAGTGTCTTTGCATTGCAAGCTGTTAAATTTCATTTACATTATTTATTCATTCATAATAGTTTATTATTAAATTAAAATAACTGGAGGTGCTTTTCTCTCCTGATAATTGATGCAAATATTATTGATTTACTTCTAAGGTATCATCTTAGTATTTGGTAATGTCTTTATTTAAACATTTTAGTATTTTGGATGTGATGCCTGTGCACAAAATGAAAATATTGTTATGTATGTCTGCACTAGCATGCAGCACATAAATGAAATGCAGTACCATGACCCTGCTCCATTTATACCAAAATTCCAGATAACATACGTCATGGAGTGGGCCTGAGAGGCTGATTATCAGTAATCTAGCAGGCTTCCTTCTATCGGATTTGGGGAGCTGTGTGAGGAAGGGAGTTCTTGTGCTGACATGATCATGCACCTTTCTTTTTGGGTTAGGACATCAGTGAGCACGTGGTGACAATTAAACTTTGGATGAGTGAAGCAGTGTTTGAAGTTGTGGGGATGTGAATACTGCAGTCATGAACCCAGAGTTCAACATCTGGGTGGGTGGGGAAGAAGTATTGGGGTTGTGGCTGGAGTGGTTATGGCAGGAGGGATGAAAGTTTCAGCACATCTCTGACTGTCGACTCTGTAGCACTTCCTTAAATAAATGTAATTTCCAGCACATGGTTTCATATTTTTAGCCTGGAGAGGATATGAAGCTCGCAGGAAGTACAAGGAAATAAGGAACAGAAGAACTGATGCTGCTATACATATTCAAGCAGGTAATTAAAACATTATTTCAATTGCCAACACCTATTTTGCTGTGGGTGATTTCATGTGTCAGTGTTTATAGCCAAGAGAAATACATACAGTCCAAAAAAAGCTATGAAAAACATTACTTCTGATTGTTTGTTCTTCAGTATCAAATGACATCAGTGACAGATATCAGGCACTTTGGACTTTTTGTTAGTACTTCTCTAGAAGCAAAACTTAGTGTTAAAAAGCTGTTGAGTTAATTCTTTTAATATTCTTCTGAGCACAGGCAGTATGATTCAACTATATGTAGAGCTGGTATGAAGCACTGGATTGATTTGACTAGAAGTGTGGATGGGAGGCAGTGGACATGCATTTCTCTGTCTTTGTGTTGAGCCCTGATCTTGGCAGGTTGCCAGGTTTTTGTTTTGACTGCTTGCTGGGTTTGCCAGCTTTGGCCAATCTTTTGACTCTCTGCCAGACTCCTATGCAGCCATATCAATATGAATTTGAATAAACTTTAAAGAGATTATTGGAGGAACAGGCCCATAGGGCTGTGTAGGTCTCTAGTAGAGAGCAGGGTACCAGATGGCACAGAAATCTAAGAACCAGTGCTGTGAACTCAATGGTGTTTTCAGATGCTGCCATATGAAGCAGCTTCCATATGATGCGGTGTAATACACCTTCCCTGTCCAACCCCAGGCTGAAAGATCAAAAATTAGTTGTAGCAAATGTGTTAAACCAAGGTATCACCTTTATTATAGCAGCTTCCAGTGCTATAATTCCTTAAACTTTGTCACCTCTCTATTCTGTATCATACAGTCTAAAGTCAATCTGAAAAAGACGTGTTCTAAATATTCTTTTACTTTGTTCTCAAGCCATTTCCAGTAAATTAATGTTTTTTCTTTTGTTTGAGTTTGCTACTCTGAAATTAAGCATTGCTGTGACTTTCAGCAGAAAACAGAGTACCAGTCTACTTAGAGAAAGGAACAGAGTATCATTAGGATAAAATAATAATTTATAGCTTCGCATGCATACTGTTAAGTAGTATCATGAACTATAGCTCTAGGGTCAAATGCAGAATATTCTATTAAATGGAGAACTGCTGAGGAGAAATTTTTTCTCCCATTACAACAATCACTGAAGGACTGCACAAGTGTTCTCTCCCCTTCTTCCTCTCCTTTGTGTTGTCATTTGCTATTGTTTTCATGACAGCCAGAGAATAGATCTTAAAGTACCCCCTACAACTATTTTCCAGAGTATTTGCACATTTACAGTTAGCCCTACCTGGACTTTGATTTCCTCACTTGTAACACCTTTTTGCCATAAAAAGGAAAGTGAAACAATTGACCCATCACTGTCCCACTATTACCAGTTCCTCGAGACAAGAGTTATCTCAGGTTTGGTAAGAAGCTGGTATGTAGCAGTATCACCTGGAGACTGTAGGGGACATACTGCCTTAAAGTTTTATCCAGCCAGATTTCTTAGGCATGTAGGAGATGCATCCTTATTACTGGCTCTTTAGGGAAAGCGACTGATCTATTCTGCTGTTTGCACACATGGGAGAGATTCAGAGCTTTGTTCCTTCCTGCCATCTCTTAGACACTGCATTGAACATGGCAGAGCAGAGGCAGTGGGAATGTACACATACCCTTGAATTTGGACACTTCTGTGAGCCCTCTGGACCTAATGCTGGAGGAATGATGTTAGCACTCTTTTCACCAACACACACACACTGTCTTCCTTTGTTACCTGGCACTTGACAGTTTCAGTGATCAGTCTGGGTGAATAAGCATTTGGACTATAGGGTTAAGAGTGACACAGTGCACCTTTGTATTAATTAGGCTGTTTGCTCCTCCTATCTTTGGCACTGCATTCGAAGGGATATAATAATAATCTTCAACACATTTCTGTCTGCCTTTGGAAACCTATATCTAGGACTTCTTATTTGAAAATTCTTGTGTACATTTTATCTTCTCTACATGCTAATTATTCTGTGTTTCAAATCAAAGCTCATGCTTTGTAATGGTGGCCATTTTCCAGGTTGTAAAATACACTGACAGTCTTTCTGTTGTTTACATTACACTGTCCAAGTGCCTGGTGACATGGAGACAAAAGCAACTCCAAATCTCTCCCTTCCCTGCACATCTTATAATGTGAGTATGTAGTTCAAGGCAGCTTTTCAGTAAATGGAGTATGATTACCTTTGTATTTTTTTTTTTAAAAATGAGCCATTTCAGGCAGTGAGATAGATTGTTTGCATTTGTCATCCAGACATTAGCAAAACCATATAATTAAAATATATGTACTTCCTTCTCCTTTCCCTCCCCCCCGCCCCGCTCAAGCAGGCCTTGAAATTTAGGAAGCATTTGGCTTACATGTTTCTACAGAACAGCGCATATTGAAATTTGTTTTCCTTTCATCTCTTTCCCAATAAAAGCAGCCGCTCGGCTTATCCCTTTAGCTTCCTCAGAACTTCCTTTCAGAATTCCCGATCTATTACAGCACATTCACATACCAGAAACAAGATGCCTTTTCATGCTGTCAACCTTTTTCATCTGAAATGTAAATTAATTCTTGCTGGTACGCTTTGACAGAGATCAAAGTAGGGGTATTAACCTTATTGGGCCTTCTCTTCATCAGAATCAGTTCCAAAGACTGCGAGGGTAGTGTTAGGAGGCCAGTCTTCACTGTTATCTGTGGCCCTCCTCCAGGCAGTCCTCTGTCTACAAGTCAGCATTTCAAAGGCGCTGATTTCTTTTGTAAATGACCTTATCATTACTTTAAACTGTGTGAAAAATGATTTGCCTGAATAATTCTTGCAGGATTATCCTGCTCATTTTAATTGTGGGGGGACTTCATTCAGATTCCAGGATATTGTTTAAGTGGTTTTGACAGCAAGTGATCATAGCCTGATATAAAGGAGGAACACAGCTCCTGACTGGAAACCTCTTGACTTGTTCAGATTGTTCATTTCTTGCAAGTCAGTCTTTGAGGTAGGCTGCATTTGCATTTTAAAAATAAACAGATGCCTTTCAAATACATGAGCTGGTGGTCTGGAGATCTCTGTGGGCCCAGCAGTTCACTATCCATTGAAAAAATGTTGGAAGAAAAAACAAACTTAGAAAAAAAGCAACCCTCACAATATACATGAGGATACAATTCCTGAGTGTATTATATTACGCGAAAAACAGTCATTATTTCAGATGGGCAAAAACACCCTTGCTAGGAAACAAAATATTTGTGAATTTAAATTAGGTGGGGAAGAAAAAGCTACCCTACTTCAGCATATCTACATCACAGGTTCTCAGAATACACAGATGTTATTAGACTCATGGCTAAGATGGTACACAGGGTACACAAGGTCTTTCCTACTTCTTCCAGTCCTGCTTTCCCAAACTGTGAAGGTTAGAAAATGCTAATTTTTAACTTAGAGACAAATTGTAAAGAATGATTTTATGTAAAGTGTTTGAGTTAACACTACTTTGTACTTCTGCATATTTCTTTGTAATTGGGATTTGTATTGTTTTGATTTACATCTACGTAAAAGGAAAAATATTTTGTTAAAATAAAGAATTTTTTTAAATTATGTTCCCTGATTCACAGCTGGTTTAAATTAGTGTGCATCCACTGAATCATCAACTGAAATGTTGCTACGCTGATTTACCTCACATGCAAGTCTCACTTAATGTTTCTTTGTATTAGAATAATGCATTAATTAGAATTTAAAACAACAGATAATACAATTATAAAAGTACGTTTTCTAGTTGCGATAGCATGTATTTCCATGCAATGTGACTGTTGTCCCAAAAGACTTAAGGGAGGATTTTAATCTGGTTATTTCATTTGTGAACTGACATTGCCAAAATGCCAAATGAGTGGTGCATGCGATTCACTTAGATCTGAGGTGACATCACTGAATTCATTTTAATTAGGCCCACTTTAGCCATCTGGAATATACTGTGCAGCTCTGGTCAGGACTGAGTTTAACTCTGCTTCCAGAGGTGAAAGGCAAATGACTAATCCATTGAGCCACCATCTCCTCCTCCAACACGTGCTCACACACTCACCATATGTCACATTGTATTGGAAAATTCTTTATCAAGAACTCAAGATTTGAGCTCTTTTTTAAAAAATATAAAGTAATGGATGTTCAGAAGGAAACCAGATGAAGCATCTCTTTGTAAATTGCTTTCTTTCTGTAAGTTCTGCCCATGCAGTGTTGCTCACTATTTACATATCTCTAACATGTGCTTCTGGCAAAATTTAATCCATTATAATAAATAAAGGAGGGCCTGAGAGCAGCTGTAATTTACTATTTTACATTATAATAAATGTAAGCTTTTAATAAAAGTGCTACCTTTGGGATTTTCAACAGCAAAGATTTAATGTTTAATTAAAACATTAAATTGTCAATAGAAGTCAAGGAAGTATTTCTTGAAAACACTGTATTTGTCTATTTATATCACTATGTACATGTGTGTGTACTAATACTGTTGTATAGATCTAAGTATTACTTGAGTAAAATGTTCCAAAAACTTCTAAGCACTTCATAAATATATCTAGAAATAGATATTTTTTTAATTTTCATGAAAATAACAACCACTAAGTAGCAGATCCAGTTTTACTTTTTTATATCATTAATTTTCTTCCTTCGAACTACCTTGTCAATGTAAGGACCATTGAAGAGATGTTTGTGTTTCTCTTAATGGCAGCTGAACTTACTTATTACATTACCTTGATTTCACATTCAGTGTGAACCAACCTGGTTTGTGCAGGCTGCATAGCTTTGGTTAATTTTACTCTTCTATCTCTTTGTGTTCTGTACTAGCTTAGGCCATCCAGTACTTCTTCACTTCCAGTATTTATCTCTAGTAATCATTAAAAGCCTGCTGCTCCTATCCCCATCTCTGAGCTAAGTTCTGTCGATATTAATATGTCTCCATTTCCTTTTGGTTTTCTCTCCTGTTTTTGAGGAGATGAAAAAGAGACCATTCTTACTGGATTTCATGCCCTTGCTAAAATCAGGATGGGACAAAACCATACATTGTCCAACAACACGTTGGAAAGCCTATTCCTTTCCCTTGCTAATATTGACAGAATTTCACAGCCATCTTCACCTTTTTTTTCTTTGACCAAGTCTCAGGATCAGAGACTGTAATGCATGGTAATTAAAAAATGTATGTCCAATGTGTATCATTGACACCAGTCCTGATGGCAGCCTTGGTGAGTCTTCCTAATAGTCACTGCTTGTATGTGAGAACTCGTGACTTGCTTCCTCGTAATGCTTCTGCCAGAGAACTTAAGGCAAGAGTTTGTTTCTTCTGCTATTAAACAGGAATCACCCAATATCTGTCCAGAGTGAGAGGTGAAAGAGGAGAGGTATTCATGGGACCCAGCAAAGGATGTGACTCTCCATCCCTTTTACTGTTCATTAGAATTAATTTGGCAAGGAATGAAGAACCAGATTCATGGGCTGCAAATTCTCTCAAATGTTGTTAGTTAAGCTGCTGAATGCTCTTTTAACTAGGCAAATTAAGAAAGTGATAATGCTGTTCGTTGTAATCAGAAGTTGATTTGCTAACTAACATGATATCTTCTCTTCAGCAAGCATGAGCTTTCATTTCCAAGTTGCTGTTATATGCTATTTTAGGTGATATTATAGATTAAAAAGGACTCTGTGTAGAAAATGTCTGCTTGACATGATTTTTTACAACTGAGAATGAATCCTTCTGCTGTTTAAAATACTACATCTCCTTTCTTTATACTTCTTGTATAGACCTGTGATTGTTTACTTTGATCTTTCTACATCATGCTTCACAATTTGATCTGTAACTATATATTTCCTATGGGAATTAGAGTGAAAATGCCTGGACTTTTCCTATCTGGAATTGTGCAACATTGTGTGTAATGTATATGCCTTGGTACTTAGACCTTAAAATAAAGGGTTTTAACTGCAAGACACCAAATTTCAGACTCCCTGATTTAAATGTATTCTTGGTTTGCTAGGTGCTGGAGCTGACAGAAAACTCAATTTGTGTGAGAATTGATCAGTACAAGAAGTAGAAATTCATGTCCTAAATTGTGGCACATAAAACATTTAACACAGAGTTACTCATAGAAGTGCTAAAATTAAGTTCAGTTCCTATGTTGTTTTTCAAATCCTGTCGTCTTTGGCTATGTAAAGATCAGGGTTAAAGATACTGTTGCTGGAAAGTTTAGATTATAGACTGGGTAAGGTGAAAATGAGGTGACAGCTGGTAATCATTCTTCTTCAATGATGCAGTGATTGTTCATGGAGCAGTAGCAACATGAGTCTGCTAATTTCACACTCTTTGAGCCAAGTGCTTAGTGTCAAAACCAGCACCAGTCAGTAATGCAAATTGCTGTGATGGAGCAGCTTCCCAGCCTCTCAGACTCCCCCAGTAGAATTCTCTGCATATGCATTTCTTTTGAAACATTATAGATCCAGTTAATAAATGTTGAAAAGATGCAGTCCTGCTAATGCTTGATGAAGCTTTTGAGAGAGAAACAAGTTTGTTTATCCTGCTACTTCAGTTATCCCGTGAGTCAAAGGGAAAGTAGGAAAAATACGGCCGCTTACCTGTCAGATTCAAGGTATTCTAGAAGAATGTTAGAAACCAGCTTGCGGAAAGGTTAAGTTGAAGAGGAGTTGATTTTGAAAATATGTATGAAAACAAAAGACAGGGTAAAAACTATGTTTATTAGATCAGATATAGTAAGTTTTATGTAGTGAATGAGGGAAAGACTAGAATGGTTATACTGACATTAATAGGAGTTTCTTGTGAAAAGAAAAATAATTTTAAAAAAAAACCACAGTAGATACCACAGTTGATGTTATAGACACAGACCCACATGCAAAGAACTACTGAAAGCTGTGAAATTACTAAGGATAGAATTGAAGTTTATCTTATTAGTTCATTTGTTTCAGTGCTTCTCTATAAGTAGTCCATCGACTGACTGATACTCGGCATGTTTCAGCTGTGGAGAGGTGGCTGCTGGCCAGCTGTCTCTGCTGCCAATATTGGAGTAGGCTCCTTGTCTGGTCAGTAGGGGATAGTTAAGGATTGGAAGCTTGATCACATGGGGCAACTGAATGCTTGCCTCGTCTCTGCCAGACGGGCAGACTTTTCCAGTCTGATTATTAAGGGTGGAAATTTCCTCAGCCTCACGATACCTGAGCTCTGTATTCGGTACAGCACCTCAGCAGGCCCAACTTCTGTCATGCCTTCTGTAAAGTGAATGGTTATTTATTTTAGTAACCTCTCATTAAAAGGCAATTTTTGCTGCTTCTTACCTTGGAAACCTCAGTAGCACTGAAATGCTTAGATTGTTATGGTGCATTGCATACCACAGCTTGAACTGTTCAGATGGTTTTCATTTTCTTATATTGCACAAGTAAGTGCAACAGCACATGTTTTTGTGGAGGTAGGTGGCTGAAAAAACCACCATTAACACTATACCGGAATTAAAATAGGAAAGAAGGGATTAGTTTAGGGATTTTCTTTTCATTACACAAAAAAAACCATGAATGGGTGGCTAAATTTATAAGAGTAGTTAAATGGAAGAAAAGGGAAATCAATCAATTATCTCATAATTTGGTAATAACTGAGGGATTGCAGATTCTACAGGGTCTTTATTCTCTTGTGTAGGTAATGCCTACTTCCAGTGTTTTCATAAAATCAGAGGTGTGAGATACAGGGAAAACTTGTTAATCTTCTGATCAACATCTGTGTTCTAAATTAATTCTATATTCTGTATTTATTCTACTTCCTGATTTCCCTTTGTAATCTACAGTGTTATCTTGACCCTGATCCTGCATGAGGTTCCCCATTTCTGTGCCTATCCTACATCCCGCTGTAATATTTAACCCTGGACTCTAGGAACCCCAATGAGAGGGCTCTTCTCCTCCTTTGAGTAATTAGTCCCCAGACTGACTCTGCTTTTGCATGTGTTTAGTGTGCTTAAAAGCTTTTCCTGGCAGGGATTTCTTTTTCCTCAAAATCATAATATTTCCTGATCTTAGCTCCAATTTTTTTTTTTTTACATATTGTTCCACTGTATAAGTTGCAGTCCCGCTAGACTAATAAGCAGCTTCTTTCCCTCGCAACCCTCAGCCTTCTTATGCAGCAACTGCTTTTTGCATGCTTCAACTATGGCATTGATACTGTACTTACTTTCTGTGTTATTCAGCCTTTTCTCCCCTTTTATCAAGGTCTTTCTACTTAAAATAATGCTTGGAAATAAACCGTACAAAAATAAAATTTAAAAATTCGTGAGTTTAAGTGTACATTGCAATACTGTTTAGTCTTCTGTCCTAGGTGCAGTATGTATCGCTATCTATGGTTTCTGCTGGAGCTTTATTACTAACTGCTCACAGTGTCAAGAATTCAACAAATCCATGTCAGATAAAACTACACAAGTAGTTAAGTTATTTAGATACCCAAATCCAGAGACAGTCCATGGAAATAAAGGATGTAGATATCTTCAAAATGCTATTCATTGTCGTTTTCTTTGCCATTTCATTTCACTGCATGCTTGCTACTTAATTTTGTTTTTCCAGTGATTGTTTTGTTCTGCTCTTCTGTTTTATGAATGGTTTAAATTCCAATCTCTGTAGGTTTTTTCCCTGAATATTTGTATGAGAGGTATTTTAAATGTTTTGTTATGGTTACAATTAATTGACAAATAGGAGAAGACATTATTTTTTCTACTTTTAATTTAATATATCTGTCCCTGGGTCCTCACCCCCCTATCCCACAAAAAAGCAGGTAGAACTTCTGATTCTGTAAAGTTCTGACTAGCTCAAATCATGAGAGTTGTGATTAAGAAGATGTTTTGGGAGTGATTTTCTACTATGTATTTTAATACATTCTAAGCTGGATTCCTATTTAAATTAGACACATTCTCATTTCGAGGCCTCTTTTCCTTGCCTGGGTTATGCCAAGCAGTCACTATAACAATGAGAGTGTAAGGCCCTGTATAATTTCCAGCTGTTGTTAACATTGCAAACGTTGGAACCACCCCCTGTGAGGTGCTAAGTGTTCTTTCTGTCCACTGGTTCAGTAAAAGTTGAGGGCATTCAGCTCTGCGCTGTAGAGCAAGGTGCCAGTCTGCATTTCAGGCTCTGCAGAATTTTTATCTGATTCGTAACTGTTTTTTAGCTTTCAGGGGATATATTGTTCGTAAAAACTACACAAGATTGAAAAACAGCACTGACTGTGTAGCAGATCCTCAGTTTATGAGCAGCTGTTCTACTTCTGATTTTGGCTGTGAAGAGGACTGGTGAGTTGAATCCTTTGCTGTCTATTATCTAACAGAAGTCATTTTCCACACAATGAGACCTGAAAGGAGCAGGCATGTCAAAGTGATTCAGCCAGCTCTTAGGGAATCTGCCATTTTCTGAGCATGAGCACCTGTAGGTTAGCCAGTCCCCCCACTAGCTTAGTCATCTCAGTGTTCTCCCAGTTAGCATAGTTAGATTTATCTGCAGTGCTGTTTGTCCTGGGTTGCTGTCCTGTTTCTTTGCACTTCTCAGAAGTACTCAGAATACCATAGATTGCAAACAGGATTGTAAGTGCTCAGCGTTTCAGAATTGACTGCAGTGCATGTTATTAAATTCTCAAGAGTAGAAATTTACCCTTCTCTGTCTGTTAAGCTCCTTGCAGACCAGCAATGAGATAGGAAAAAGAGCTGTAAAAAGCAGATGGACAAGCCACTGACAGAAGGCCTAGGAATTCTTTGAACTGTAATAGTGGTGCCCTCTTCCTTGTGGAGGAGGGGTATTTTAACCCTCCTTACCAATGGAGTCACTCCAGACAAATGTCCCCCTAATGCTTCCTTTGGTATGAGAGGCAAGAGGGATATGTTAAATCTTTAGCTGTTGTCAAAGTCTCTCTCTCTAACAGTGTTCTAGGAGAGGTGGCTGCATTTGCTGGATCAATCCCTTTGATTAGCGAGTTTCAGTGATTAAGAGTTATGAGATCTCTCCTGATGCGGCATGGGCATTACAACATCTCAGTTCTTCTTTCAGTTCTTATTTCTGTTATTTTATATGCTTCATATGTAGCATGTAAATGCAGGTTCTGTTACACCTCTTCAGACTTCTCTGAGGAAATCAGTGATTTGCTTGACTGTAGCTAGATGCTATTGTTCCATTAAGAAGTTGGGGTTTTTTTTAAATAACAGTTAACTTCTCCAAAATTGTATTTCTTTCTCTGTGTATGCTCATAACATTAATTTATGTTAACTGCCATGCTGACTTGGGTTGATTTAGATCGAATAATGTCTGCTACATGCTCTGGTGCATTATTACAGGATTTTGTTCAGGTCTAACTGCCTGCATTCTCACAGGTTAATAGTGCTCCAGAATCTCTCCCTTGCAGTATTCTGTTTTCAGCAAAAATACAGGTTCAGGCTGTTGGACAAGGACTGAATAAATAAATAAGTAAACAAATTTTTGGTAATTATTATCACAGAAAAGAAAAGCCCACTGCAGTTTACCATCATAGCTCTGTCTTTGGATTGCCTCACTGCTCACTGGGGCAATGAATTTCCTAATTTATGATTCCCTTCATGTGCATGCAGCTCCTTCTGTCTCTTAAGTACTTACGGGTGTGTATCTTGGGATCTCTTTAGAACTATTGATGATTGCGTGGTCATTTGTTCTCCAGTCGGCACTGATGGTTAAAAGCAGGAGCTAATAAGCTGTCCAGTATCAGTTTTCTTTGGCATCCAAAATTATGATTATTTACAATGTAAATAGACTTTTTTTTTTCCCTTTTTAGTGATGTAGAGCTTTCACCTTGACTTGTTTGGAGGTACACAGTCTCTTTAAACTTTCTACTTCATCTATTTTATGTGTAGTTAGCCAGGAATGGTTTTCTTCCCTTTTTGCATTAGGGTGTTTCTGGTATTCCTTGTTGTTCTCCAAACAAATGTATTTTTCTGGATTAGATAGAGCTTGGTTAATTGTACATCCCTTGAGCCTCACAAAGATTTTATGGTTCAGTAACTGTTGAGGTGAATTTGGGCTCTAGGAACCACAAACATACAGATTTTTAAAGATATTCAGCTGCTGAACTTACATTGAAATCAATGTCTATATGCCTTTAAATATCTGGCTTGAAGGTGCCCATGTAAAATACATTGTCCATTCAGGTCTTGCACCCAGTCCTGACTGCTATGCACAATCAGATAAATAAATTCATACCTTTTTTTGCCTGGATTTGCTAAACTGCCATTACTGCTGGCAGTTCTCAAGTTTAACCCCAACAAATATTGCAAATTATTTGCCTAATCCTATAAATTTCTCAGCAATGGCCTCACGTTCCAGTGATTTCAGTGAGACTTGAGAATGTTCAGCGTTTCACAGGTGATGTTCAGAATCTTAGGACTAAATCCGCTAACTTACTTCCCATAAATCAAGCCTCACTTCTACATGGGTCTGTTACTGGGCTGTTGTGTTTTAAGCATATGGCTGTTCAGTCATACAGGAAACTTGTAGGAAACAGGAAGGCTGCTGAATAATAGTGCAGATGTTTAACACAGTAGCTGGTAATCTGTCCCTAGAGAAGACAGCCTCACTGTGGCTTCACATACCATGGAACTACAGTATAGAATAATAAAATATTCTTTTCTCTTCATTTCCTTTCATTTCTTTATTTTTGTTTCATTTTTTTTTTCTAACTGGTAGTTTTGGAAGACGAAAAGTGAGCTTAAAAGTACTTAGGATTAGAAAGCAAAATCATATATAACTCTGTTATATGCACAGGAATATAACTATACATTTAAATGTATGACAACCTGTTGCTTTTTCAAAGATCTGTTAAAAAAAGAAGTTACAGTATTATAATACATATAAAGTACTCAGTTTTACTAAGTAATGAATTTCAAAGTGTTCAGAAGAAATGGGCACCTTAAAAAAAATTTAATTCATTCAAGGGAATTGAATCTCTACACCTAGTTCACGCTCCTCAGCCAGTGTGAATGCAGGACATAAGCAAACTCAAGCTAATAAATGATGTAGAATGTTAAATGCACACATTAGTTCATTTAACATTGCATGTTAAATGTTTCCTGCATTTATATGCTTGACTCGGAAAACCAGTATTAACTGTCTCCAAATGCAGAAATCTTTCCTGTGTGAAGCTGATGTCACAAGTAACACAGTAAAGGCACACTGAGAATTGGCAAATATCTCTCACAGGAATAGAAATACGTATAGCAAAATAATGTAAATGTTAGCAGGGAAGTGGCTTTATCTCATTGAAAAAATGTTTTTCCATTCACTTCCACAGAGCTGTGGAGTTGCCTGTGACTCCTACCAAAAAAGGGTCGTGAGTTTTAGTGTACACCTGGGAGATTGATACTAAGTCTGAATTTCCCCCCCAAAGCCAGCCTGTGTATGTGACACTTGCCAAGCCATTTCTTGACATCATCAGCCACTGAGAGGAACCTGCAGGCCTGCGTGGTGTGAAAGAACTGAATTACAATCAAACCCATTCCCAAAGTAGCTTATTCAAAACTTAAAAAGGAGTTATTTTAAAGGGCCAAACATGGTCAAGGCTAAATTCAAATGAGGAAAGTGAAAACCTTGTAGAGCCCTTTTTACAATCCTTGAATAGCAGCATTACCCTTTTACAGTAAGCCAAACAGGCAGCAGAGAGGGAGGAGTGTGACAGGGTCTCCCTTCTCACAAGGCCAGTGCAGACACCAGCCTTGCCTCGTATCTGGCTCCATTTTACAATTGGTCATCACATGAAATTAAAGATGCTGCATTTTGCAATGGCATAGCTACAATTTCAAGTTAGTATATAGGGATCTCTTGACCTAATTAGGAATAATCTGTGGAAAAGGGAGAAGTAATTTGCTAAAACGTCCTGTGATTTTTAACTTGTTAGACTGACAGATCTCTAGCGAATACATTTTTCATAAATGTTCTTGTTCTTAGCAGGATAATCTACAGTTCAGTGACTAAGGACCTTAATCTATGCTACGTTGTTCATGTTCCTGTTCAGACAGAGATGTCATCCTCAAATATCTTTAAATCCCTTTAGAATCTCATCAAAGCATCTGTAACCTGCATGTTCCACCATCTTCTTATCCATTTCCCTCCCAATGAAAATTGTGCTAAATAATACTAATCTGATGCTTACCCTAGAAAATACTTCCTTTATTGTTCTTTTTTTCCTCTAGCTCACTGAACTGTAGCTCACTGACTGCTAAATATTGCAATATGTTAGCTATACGTACATGATCAGTGGCCTTATACTATGTAGTACAGCAGAAAGCATTGTTCCCCATAGTGACTTTGTTACACATAGGTTATGTCTGTCACTATAACTGTGTGTCAGTGAGTATCCCCAGCTCCTTTGTTTCCTTATGGTGCTCTGTGTGTTAAGGACACATGTTAGAAGATATCTGATGTCAACAGCAGTTTACACTCTTGAATCAAATTTCTTGTGATTTTTCTCCTTACATCTTTCTCTTTTTAGTTAGTTGGTATCATGTTCAAGCTTTGGTCAGCATAGTTTCTCAGAAGCCATTCATTTCAGTAAAACTCTTGACATTCACATGAGACTTTTGTAATCAAGATTGGATAATAAAGCCCAAACAAAACTACGCAGGCACACCAACTTAGGTTTTTGGAAAGTTATAGAAAAAGAATAATTATCAGCGTTTCTCTGTTCTTCAGAAAGTATGCATCTGAAAGTCAAGTTCCAGAAATGGGTCTATTTCTACTCATTAATGGCTTGACTGATGAAGCAGAATTTGATTACTAAATTTGTATCAGTACTGAGTGAGTGATGGTTACAACAGTTTAAGAGGGCAGGATTAGAACTGGAAACAGTTACATGGACTGTAATGAACCACAAAATGAGTGTCAGTCAGTAATGGCACCCTGTTCCAAAGTTTACATCAGGTAGTAGCAATGAGGACACATACTACCTCGCATGTGCATCATAACATTTTCTCATCACTGTCAAGACCTTAGTTAGTCTAGTATATTAGACACTGCACTTCAAGAAAATGAGCAAGTCCCTCAGCAGCAAAAATCATCACATCTCTATAAACCGTGATAAGGGGAGATCTCTTAAGGGAGATGGAAAACTGAGTACACGTGCTATCAGTTTTCCAGTCATGAAAGGCTGATGTGAAGAGGAAAGGAACAAACTGTACTCCATTGAGAATCAGGCAAGAAATAATGGGCTTGAATTGCAGCACAGGAGAGTTAGGTTAGACATCAAGGAAAGCTCACTGATGGTAAGCTGAGTTAAGTCCTATGTAGGTTACATTGGGAAGTTCTGACATCTCCATCACTGTAGGTTTTAAAAATCAGTTTAGACAAGCTCATGACAAAAAAAAAAAAAGTAGATGTAGCTGATTTTTCTCTGAAAATGGGGATGCTTAGATGATTTGCCAAGGTTCTTCTTATGATTTACAAATACAGAGTGACTTATTGAAATGTAACATCTCTGTGCCCAGTGGGTTTGGTATTGCAAGTCAGCAACTTTTGTGGCATCTTAGTGCCAGCAGCCATTGGCGCATCAGTGTAGGGAGTAAGTATAAAAATTGTTCTAGAGGAATTCTCCTTGGGTCAATTTTACTTGAAACAGCGTTGTTACTGTGACTGAAAAATGAACAAGGTTCATTTCTGAATGTTCTGCAACAGCTGGAGATCCATTGAAATAGCATGCAATGTGGATTCATCTGGTGGGTTAGCACATAAACATAATATTCCATGTACCACCAAGATTAGAGAATAAACATTATTTCAGTCATATGAACACAGATCAGTTCAGAAACTGACTTAATGTGAATTAAACTGCTCCATATAAAAACTCTTCTATCTTCTGCTATGCTGTCTTTGACTTGATCTGCAACTTGCCTGTCACTAAAGTGAGGTTCATTCAGTCAATAACAAAACCTTCCTTGGATTCTTTTGATTAAAGGGAAAAGAAAAAAAAAACCCACTACGTTAGTGTGCCTCTGTTCTTCATGGATAGCTGCTTGAAAGGGTCGCATCTCCACATTTTAAACCTGGTTTTTTTCCAGAACCTTCAGATGAATACCATCAGGTCCTGGTGACTTACTGCTTACATCTTTCTCACATTGCTCCATAATTTCCTCCTTGGATAATTTCAGTTTCTGTCAAGACCACGCTGTGATTTCTTGTATAAGTCATCTTTTGAATATGAATTTTCATTTCTTTCCACAGTAAAAGCTGGTATAAAGACATTCAGCTTTCCTTCAATTGCTTCACTTCCCTATTTGTAATCATAGCAAACATGAAGGTTAGTGCTTGTCATGGAAACAGGAGTTTGCAATTCCTGCGACATGCAATGGAACCCACTGGGCCTGATTCTGCTGTCACATGAGCTTCTAATTAGTTTACAGTTCGTAAATCCAAATAGTTACTCATGATTTATAAAGGTGTAAATGGAAATTTGGGCACAATTTTTCAGTGTAATTTTTTTTTTTCCTCCTCCCCATCCCTCTGGATTTTTTCATCTACCCATGCTGCAAGGATTAAATTTGTTCTGTTCAGGAATACATTATTTCTGCAAAATGAGCTGTATTTTTTCTAGTGGAATACCTAGGAGTGTTTCTAACATTTTCAAACGTATTTAAATTATGAAAGTCCAAATTCCATGACTTATACACATAATGGCCAGAATAACTCCAAAACTAGCTATTTTTTTCCAGCATAAATTAGTCTGTGCTACTAGTTTTATGCTGCTATGGTTTGCCTGCTTTCAGTGCTAAGGATAGTGTGGCTATACACTATACAGATGTGTAGACAGACCCTACAAATCAATGTTTTGTGTTTTGTCAATGTTTCTTGCTAATTGAGTGATTTATAGACAGTCCATATGTGAAGACTGAGGCGTATTATAGCTCAGTAGCTGAACATTCAGCAGCAAATTGTTGTATTGCCTGACTGAAACCAGGCACATGAACTTGGATCTCTTGCATCCTTCCCAGGTAAGTGTGCTGATGGATCTTACCTCTCTGACCCAAGCACTGCTTTCCTGCAAATGTGGAAAATAAAAATTTTTGGAAACCATAGGACAGACAGTTTATTCAAAGATATCTGAAAATACTGTGCATCTCAAAATTAGCCTCAGATGCCACATTTGAAAATGTTAGCTGTCATCACTGATTGGCTCATATGAACTAGTTACTGCTGAGCTGCCCTCCTGTCGCTGTTGCATTTTTCATATTGCATACTAGCCAAATTTTCAGAATAGCTCAGAGACTGATTTCAAGGTGCTCAGCATCTACAGTTGATACCATGTTTTCAGAAGTGTTCACTGCTGGTTTGACATTGTGGTGGGTTGACCTTGGCTGGCCACCGGGTGCCCACCAAGTTGCTCTGTCACTCCACTGTCTCAACAGGACAGGGGAGAACAATACAACAAAAAGCTCATGAGTAAAAGCTAGTAATCATGAAGTATATACTTATATCAACAACAGTATGTTCTGTGGAAGGATGGGGTATCTTGTGTCAAATACAACCCAACATAGGATTGTTCTTGTCTGAAACACGGCATCACCAGGATCCTGACAGTCAGGGTCTAAGGGCTTCAGAATTCCAGAGGCTGATTTTTGCTTGCTTCAGCTGCACAGAAGGCAAGTTGCTGAACTTTACCTTCATGCCTTAAACATTTAGACAATGTTCTAGTCCTGGCAAAGTTGAAGTGCTGGAAAAAACATACTGAATTCCAGATTATTTTTTTTACAGAAGGTAGAGATTAGTTCAAGCTGCAGATTTAGATCCAGATCCCAACTACCCCAAAATCTGAATATTTAAATTTAGATGATGATTTAGTCCATTTTGACATTGTAGGCTGTTTGTAACATACTGATCCAATAGCAGATTTTGATTTTTACTTCCACCACAGAGATATTTGAGGATTATTCATGAGTTTTAGCTCATATTGGGTTTATTTTCTGCAGTACTGGGGGGTGGGGGAATGAATCATCTCAACAAATGCTTGAGTAATTTTGGGGGAAAGTGGCAAGTTATCTAACTAATCCCACTTAATTGTTATGTAGATAATATATATATAAGATAAATAGTAATAAAGAACTTTATAGATAATATGGTACATGCACAAATGCAATGTCAAATACAGTCCTAGACGTGTTTTATACTTCCCTGTACAAGAAGTGTGCCAGTACAAAATGAGAATGCATTTTTAAAATTGATCCCTTCATTTTCTCCAAGGAAAACATCAGTTCAAATTCAAATTACAGTTTAGGCAGAACGTTTTCCTTTTCTTTCTTAGTGTCAAAGAATCTGAAAATTAAATCCAGACTTCATTCACGAAATTGCAACATTACAGAAAAGTTGAATGTTTACCATGTTTCTGAGTGCTTTATTTTGTTCCCACACCCTGAGGTAGCTTATTGACAACCATGATACCATCGTTGTGAATAGTTTGAAACAATTCAAGTCAACGCTCTTGAGCTGGGGTAACACGTTCAGACAAACTTTATTAACCTGAGAGCCTAAACCCTATTGCAAATAAGGCTGAAATACTTCGGTAGCCTCTGTGAATGTCACAGAATAAATGCATTAGCTAATACATATGTATGGTGATACACAGCTCTCAAATTCAATACATAGAAGTCTAAAATGTAAAGAGTACATTTTAAAGGTGCATTTTGAAAGGTAAAATGCACATGTGGCCAGGCATATTTTTTAAAGTCCAACATGTTGTTCTGTTGTAATAATAAGTAATTTATACTTGTATTGTAAATAAGTAATTTATAACTAGAGTAGCTGACTGAAACATAAATATTGACAAAAATTAATTTGAGGTAACATATGTTGTATTTTTTAGTCAGAAAAGCAATTATTGTTCTGTATATTCCCCCCTCCCACTATGACTGAAAGGGCTGAAATTTATTCAGTTGTAATAACTGCGTAAAACCCAAATAGCCACTTAGTACCTTGTAAAGCTTTTCCCTGTCTATGAAAAAAGCTGTGATATATATGTCTAAACCAAAATCTATGACTGAAACTTAGATTTCAGATGTTTTCATCTATAAATAGAAATACAACTGCCAGTAATTGTATTTTCAGAAAGATTGTGAGGGGGTTGGAGAGTAATGATGCAATGGCCGAGGCATGTTCTGACAATCACAAAATCTTGCTTTTAATCCCAGTTTTAGGACCATGAGCATATCAAATAATATCTATGAACCTTAGGTTTTTATCTATCAAATGAAATTAGTAGCATCTTTTTTTGGTTTTGCGTAGCTAAAGATTCTGGAGCAAGTTCTGTCTGGGTGGACTTTACTATTGAAGAGATGCATTGACTTCAAAGGCCTGCCAACAAGGATCAGGGCCTGCAGAAGGTTTTTATGATACTTTAATTAGCATTAATGAGAGCAGGAGTTGGCCTTTAATATTTTTATGGTGACATAATGTGATGGTAAAATACTAACAGATATAGACAAAGAATCTAAGAATGCTTACTCCCTTGTTCTGTGCTTAACCCAAATGGCTTTAGGAGAACACAAAGCCATGTGTTTCACTTCTTCCTCATCTGTCAAATTTTGAGTGTTTAAGTTTGAATTCTGTGAAAACAGCTTTTCACAGCCCTGGGGAAAAAAAAGTTTCATGTAAAATCTTGTCAAATTAATACATTAATTCAATTTCATAGTATTCTCACAAACTCATTTTACACATATGCACATATCCACAAATTTTTAATGACAAATTCATTGCTCATAGCCTGTTACTGTGTTTAACAGCATGCACGACCTTACAAGAGGAAATGGGACTGGTCTGTGTTTTCTCTGAATTCATTGTATGTGCATATTTAGAAATTGGGGGAGGGAGAAAAGGGAAAATCAACAAAAAAAGCGTATGCCAATAAACCTTTTATAAGAATGAGGAAATTACAATATTTAAACTGCATATTTTATTTTTCTTTGCTTTTAGGCAGCAAACCAGTAACCAGTCTCCTCCTGTGGTGCCTGATTTTCTTGACAATCAAACAAAAAAGGTACTACTAAGTTTATATTCTAAAATAACATCACATTATAACTTCAAATTCCTGAGTCCACAGTTCTGCAATGTGTTCATGGCTGCTTGGCGTAGCCATCTGAACATGAAACCGTTAGTGATGTTTTGAAGTCTTTGAGACAAAAGCCTGCTTGCTAAGAACTTTAGTTCTGTAGAAAGACAGGGAGGTACAGTGAATAAGAGAATCAAAAGGCTGGAAATTTGCTGCTGAGAATAAATGCTAGCTGCTCCCTGAGGTGATTTGTCTGTGCACTTCACTTTCTACAGATGTTAGAGACTCTTTTTTAGTAAGGACCTGAGGTTCTTTGGTAGCACTTTGATATCCTGCTCGAATTCAATATGTGAAATGGAGGAGTCGCTCTGTGACTTGGAGCACAGCATAGTCTTTGAAGTCTGATCCAATTTTTGCTGCTTACCATTTGATGTTGAAAGGATGAAATGGAGAAAATGTACAGTTTTTGCCAGTAACTCTGCTGAGCATATGTAAGATTAAAAAAACAAAATCCCTTGGATGATGTACTTAGAAATGTTAAGCAGATTAATACCTTCCTATAGCTTTTTTCTAAAGATACAAATTAACTATGAGAGGAAATCAGCATACAGTGCATGCTATGATTTAACTGCATGAGGAAAGGGGATAAATAAGCTAAATAGAAAAAGTAAACAAATGTTTGTGACATGGGTGCTAAGCTGGTGTTGCTGAAAGCCACAAAAATCTTGTGTAACTTAAGTCTAGCATTAGACATTTCACAGAGTCGTAGAAAATAAGAAATTGCTCTCTGTGAGATCACAATTATAAGTTATCATGGCAGAGGTGAATCGATACATTTCTTATGTGCCTAAACCAGTACTCTTTATTCCAGGAGGTTTTGGATAAGATTTCTGCTTCTCCATTTATTCGAAGACATTCGTTCAAAATGAACAATTCACAATCAATTAGCCAATCCCAGTCAGTTGCAGACCATCAGTTGTCAAGTCCCTCAAGATCCCATAAAAAAGGAGGTAAGAAATATAATAAAGTAACAGACATCTTTTGTTTACTATTTATAAGCTACATGTTGTCAGCATGTAACTTGCTTTATATATTGATGAGGTCTTTTAACAATCCCTTGGAAGTCAGGAAACATAAAGGAACTAAGTTTCTTCTACACATTTTCAACCTGGAAGTATAAATAGCCCTTAAATACCTGAATTACCAAGCCTAAAGTAAAAAATTTTTAAAATACAATTTCTACTTAAAATGTGGTTAATAATCTCAAAGTACCCTTTTAATGAAATCAAATTGACTTTCAAGAGCTTCAGCTTTCCTTTGCCTTCCAGCCTCAAAAGTGGAAGACAGTAATGAAATCTCTCATGTTTGGCAGAATGAAAGACAACTTGTTTGTTCACACATACAAAGATTCAGTCAGCAACACAGGAAAGTCTGCATTAATTCTACAATCTATGCAATGTGGTCTTTTATTTTATTTGCCGATATGTTATTTTTGCCATGGTCAGTAACAGTTTAAAAACTTAAAGTTTAAAGTATGTTGATTTTTAACTGGATTATCTTTGAGTATTCCAAGAAATCATTAACTACTAGAATACTTTTCTCTGTTATTGTAGTCATTTTGTCCTTGCAAATCCATGAATACAGACCCTAATACTGGATCATAGAATACCATTCACAGTTTAACATGAAGTAGGTTAATAATGTGATTTCTGTAACTAGAGCCAAAATATAAATGATAATACATTAATTTCCAGGTTATTACTGAAAGTAAGTTGTTTGTAATTTTGTGCCATACATTAACAGTTCTGTTTATATATTTAACGACACACCTTTCATCTTGTAAGTCTACAAGTATTTGTCTGAAAACTGGAGCCCTTCTGCAGTTTATGTGTTTAAACTTTACAGAGTTCAGTTAAACAATTTACAATGTAAAGGTAAGAAGATAGGTGTTTACAGGGAGATCCTTCTGTTACAGGAAATAATGCAAATTCAATGTTTTTAGTCTTCTACACAGGCATAATGTGCTTTCCATGCTAAAACCAGAATAGCATGTAAACACAGCAGGTTGAGAAATTCATTATTCTCTCTTCATGCATTTCTGTCCATATGGGTTTTGAATCCGTAGTGTGGGACTGCAGGGGATGTGTGCATTACTATTTTAAATTATTACATGTTAAACAATAAACCTGTCAAACAGAAATATCTTCACTGAGGCAAATCCTCTTGAGGAAAGCAGACAGGGCCCGAATCTGTCATCCTTACTCTCACTGGATATTGTATGTTACCCTGCAACTAGTTTCATTGAAATCAAAGACATTGTGTCTGAGGTAAAACAATTAGAGAGAGTAAAACGGTCAGAATTACACCCTTAGCAAGCATGTGATTCAATGCCATTATCGAGTACTTTAGAGAGACTTCAAAAATGCAAAGTGATAGAAGAATTTGAAAAAGAGATAAATGCAACGTTGATCTGAACTATTTAAGAAACATTTATGTGTAAATGAATAAGCATGCAAATACAGAGAAGTAAGGAATTTCCTAGTTAAGCATGAAGATACTCAGATAGATAATCATATAAATTACACTTGAGTGAGTAACTATTAAGGAATTAAACCTGCTGAAGAATAATAACTTCCTTGGGTGCTTTTAAAAGCACAGCTTGCATTGAGAAATTCAGATGCTTTCGCATGCTGCTCAGTCTGTATTCAGTTTTATTGTGTGAAGTATAGTTTTAAGAAGAGAATATTGCTAGACCTATTGTGAAAACCAAGTGAAATAGCAAATATCTTTTTGGAATAAGAACACACGTATAAAATACCTGTGTTTTATAATGTAGGGCTATACTACATAAGCTGTTACTCACGCAAAAAAAAGCTGTCCACTAGGTGGTCCAAACAATGTGAAGGCTGTTATTTTTCATAGTGAAACATTATTCTGCAATGTTATAGATTGATTTTGAATTCTCTTTAAGTTACATTATAGGCAGAACTAGTCTGTCAGCCTGGTGGTAGTGCTGTGGACCTGGAACACAGAGGCAAACGTGGAAGGGAATGTGAGAGGTTTCTGCAGAGGTCTATGACCCAGTTATGAAGCAGTGTTGATGTTTGCTGAAGGAAGGAGTCTGTATCCAGGCTTAAGCACAAAGGGGAGGACAGGCTGCTTATTTGTCCTGAGGCCTCGGTCGGTGAGGCTCTAGTGCGGTCAAGGGGGGACAGAACACAAAAGGGAAAAAATAGTTGGTGTTAGTTTACGTATTTTTATATTAATCAAGCAGACTGTTCATTCACATCTTGTTATCCAGCTGTCTTATAGCAGAGGCTGCCCTGTTCTCAGGAGTAGATTGGCAAAGGAAAAATAGACCAGGAAATTTCACAAAGATCCTGTGAAGAGTGTACTCTGTAATTAATGCAAAACCAAAACCTTCTTTTTCACTTCAAAAGCCTTTACACTGGGTCATAGAAAGACAGAGCAGTATGACCAAACTGCATGCAGCGCAAGTTAAGCGGGTGCATGTGCTATGGTTGCATAGAGTCAGAAGGGCTGGCTCTCCACTGCCCAGGTGCTCCCATTGGCTCTGCCAGAGTGGTGGGGCAGGACTAGAAGCAAAGCCAAGGATTCCCTTCAGTGTCTCTGCTGTGACACGCTGCCAGGGCAGAGAGTCCAGTCAATAGTAACAGTTAAGCCAGAAGTTAATTACTCTAGTCACAATAAAGTAGTACTGAAAGAATCAAAATAATATAATCTCCAGAGGCCAAGCAGTGGTATTCCCTTAGATGAGATAGTGAGAATGTTTGAAATTATTAATGAGAAGTGAGTGCTTCATAGGGAATTGACCAATGTAACTTTGCCTCAAAAGTAAATATGACAGATTTTCTGAGGTGCAAAGGAAATATGTTTGTAAAAGGAAAGCTAATACTATCTCTGCAAGGACCAGAGGATGACATAATTCTTAAAGCTAACACAGACATTTTGAACAAGTGAGAAAATACGCAGAGAGTCTCTGGCAATGGACATTCTCTTGTGGGAGAACAATATATGTCTTCTGATGATGTTCAGTCCATGCCTTGCACCTCATACTATTGTCTGCAATGCTGAAACTTTGTGAGAGGTAGAGGAATTTGCCAGAGTTCTGAGATCTGGAATTATGCAATCTGCAGTGTCTGTAGCCAAAATCTGAGGCAGCGAAACTTGCACTATAGTTGTAAAAGTCAATAGGCCGCTTCTGATATTAGATTTTAGAATCCTTAAATCTTTTATATTCTCAAAACTAGTGGAAATTAGGGTCTGGCATGTTTCAAGCTGGACTCCCACTAGTCAGTAACCCATTTTGAATGTTTTCCTTACAATATGTATTTTTATTTTTATGGGTTTCTTCTCTTCCTTTCTGGTAAACTGATCATAAAAATGTGATTTGCTGAATGTAGCTATGTTGGGTTTGGAGAAACATGTGAAGGTAAACACTGTTTTTTGCAGTGATGGAGGACAAATAGATAATGAAGTGGGTTAAGTTATTGCTTGATGGGGAGGAAAACTGCTGCCTACCTCAGACAGTACTGTGGACAAGTTTTAGTAAGGACCATTGTGGGCGTGGGAGACATTATTCCCAAAAAGTTACTCTGTGGTTGTCATGACACAGATGATATTTACAGGTTCATCACCCTGAACAGGAAATTTAAAATAATGATGACTTAATTAATTGTTAGGGCTTAACTTCATGTGGTGGCTTGACCTTGGCTGGATGCCAGGTGCCCACCGAGCTGCTCTATCACTCCCCTCCTGAGCAGGACAGGGTGGGAAGAAAATAAGATGGGAAGAAACCTCACGGGTCAAGAGAAAGGCAGTTTAATAAAGTGAAAGCAAAGGCCGCGTGCAGAAGCAAAGGAAAACAAAAGATTTATTCTCTACTTCCCATCAGAAGGTGATGTCCAGCCACTTCCTGGGAAGTAGGGCTTTAGTAAACTAGCGGTTGCTTCAGAAGACAAACGTCATAACAAATGCTCCCCCTCCTCCTCCTCTTTCTTCGCTTTTATTGCTGAGCAGATGCCATATGGTATGGAATATCCCTTTGGTCAGTTTGGGTCAGCTGTCCTCCCTATGTCCCCTCCCAAGATCTTTCCCACCCCCAGTCTACTGGTGAGGGGGGAATGTTGGAGAGACAGCCTTGATCCTGTGCAAGCACTGCTCAGTGGTAGCCAAAACACTGCTGTGTTATCAACACCTTTCTAGCTACCAATGCAAAGCACAGCACTGGGAGGGCTGCTGTGGGGAAAATTAACCCCATCTCAGCCCAACCCAATACACTCCAGTTTTAACTTTCATGCTGTCAGGACCGTAATGTTAAAACACCCAAGCCACAGAGAATATACTTAGGTGATTGGTCTTTGCTTCCGAGTAGAGTTTTCTCTAGAATAACAAAGAGTCAGACTTTGTTATTGAAAGTACTCTAAGCTTCCTCAATCTCAGCCCTAGAGTACAGTCTTGATTTGATGTCTTGCACTTGCAAGTGAAAGATGCTTAAATATAAGCAACTATCTTACTCCAAATGGCTGTTTAACATTGTAGCATAATTTTAGCTCTGATCTCATTTAATTCCTATTTGTACATTGCTTTAAAAAAGCTATGGTCAAGCAATAATCATTAGTAACTTGGAAATGGGGGCACTTCTTATCCTTTGATTCACAGAAAGTCAATAGCCCAGCAAGACTGTAATAGGTATTATAGTAAAGAACAGGCAGTATCTTACACAAGATGTGGTATCATGATCTGGATGCCTTGTAACCAAAGATGCCATTTCACTTTCTGCAAGTGAGAGAGAGATCAATCCAAGGCATTCAGCTGTTTCTCTGTGTAACTCGGCTTCCTGTTTGATTCCATTATAGCAAACCTTCCTTTCTAAATGAAAAATAAAACTGCTGCTACATAATATAGTGTGAAATGCTGCATGGACTTTCAACTAGTTGTCATTGGCAGATGGGATGATACTGACACATGCATGCCATTAATTTCAGAA